TTGCATGCGATGTCTCCGTTATTCATTCGCACGCGACATGGTTCCCAGATTAAGCAAGGTGTGTGTGTCTTGGTCTTCCTACCTTGCAGTCCTGGCCGTACTCACGACTTCACCTCTATAGCTTGACCTCAACCACATACTCGGTCACAACTTCACGTCGATCTTGAGCAAGTCAACCTATCAAACCGCAGACCACCACGTCGACATAGCAGCCCGGCGCTTTAACGAGCCAGATTCTGCGACCCACCTTGATCTGACAGATTTCCACGCCTCTGTCGCGTTCAGACACCAAGGTGCGGAGGACGTGCCTCCCCCTGTCCAGGACGACAGCTGCGATAAACCTGTCGCTGACGAGGAGCTTCTCCACCGCATTGCCGTGTGGCGTCGCGCAGAAGAGGCGCTGGCACCAGTCCATAACGGCAAGCTCATTTTTGAACTGGAAGAGGAGGTGAGCAGCGAACCCCATTTCTCGTTGCCACCGCGAACCGTGACGAACGCGTGTCCCGCGCACACACCGACGCCTCAGCGTTCCATTGTGCACGGCGCCGTGTGTTCGGCAGCTCTCCTCCTCCCAAAGGCTGCGCGTATATATAAGGTCACTGACGGGATGATCCATACAGGATCTGAAGACGTCGGAACAGCGAGAAGTGTTGGACAAGTGGCTCGATGTCATCACCTACTACAGCAGCCTCCGAGCTCGGGTAAGACAACGATAGATGCTTTGGCGCGGCCAAAAAGTGCTCAGACGGCTTTCACAGATGCAACGTGTTGTGTTTGTCAGGGTGGCTGAGAAAGCGACCAAGGTCCCAGATGCTGCTAGCCCAGTTCACCCTGACGGGTACACTGCGCGACTACTAGATGCCACCACCCCTGCGGAACCTACACCGACCACTGCCATGATGACTGCCATCACTCCCGAGCCAGAGTCCAGCCGGGCCGCTCATAGCTCTCCGGATGATGACGCTGCTGGAACCCCCAGTGTGTTCTCAGCTACAGATTGTCTTTCTGCCGTAGAAGCCATGGAGCAAGTGACCGGCTCTCAGCATCCCTTCCTCTCTCTGATCCATGCCGACCGTACGAACCCTCGCTACACCCTGCTCAGTCAGTACCTCGCATATCTTGAGGCGGACACTCTGCGTCGTCAGGGCTATTGTCCGTGGTGTTACCATGACAGCTCGCTCGATGATCAACATCGCCTCCACAACCACAAGCCTCATATCGGGCAGCACATGATATCGTGTGACATCAAGCACCATCGCGGCTTTACACCATGCCCAATGTGTGGGGCTTACGTCGATGGGCTCTCGGATGCCATCCACGTCATGGACCACTTTGAGGACTGTCTGAGGGCGTTGCTTCTCTCCCACGGTCATGTCACCCCCGATCCTGACGAAGAAGGCAGCATGATCTCTGAGCCTTATGCCGACCTGGAAGAGCTTGCAGAGGAAGGCCTAGGCGAGGACGTGTTTGACGAGGAAGACAGACGGTGTGCTCAGAGACAGGGTCAGATGGTTCCCAAGTCACCGACAAAGTATTTTTTGTTTTCTGTCCGTTTGCATCGACTCCAACCAAAATCGCAGGGGATTTGCGGCTCTCTCAGCCATCATCAACCACTCTCTGTCTGCCGGCTATGGCTGGACTGTGTACTTCTGTCCCATTTGCCTTTTTGACGATGGCCTACCGTGGACACACAAGCCTGATGACCACCACAGAAGGCGAGCGCCACCATACCGTCTGATGTCAGTGCACTCGGCACGGCTTCATTTGACCTGACATGACTCATCCCTCCTCCATAGACACTTTAATGACAAGCTCCCCACGCACAAGCACTTGACAGCTCATTTCAGCGGCTCACAAGGGAGACCTCCCCTCGCCTACGAAAAGACTTTCAAATGTGCATTCCCACCTTGCACCGGCACAGTTGAGTGAGTGAGCCAGTGTGTTCCTGATAACCACTGATATGATCTCCATTCAAAGGCGTAAACTCGGGGACACTATCGAGCATCTCCATCACATCCATGGGTACCCACTGCTCCGTGCTACTGAAGGCGGCAGTGGGGGTACAGTGATCGCAGATGATCACCTGCATCTCCCGGAAGAGTTCCGCTACCATGATGATGTGCTGCACGAGGCAAATTATAAGCCTAGTATGCTGGAAGCTCACCCTGTGAGTCTCGTCGACAGACGTCGCAACGCTATCAAGGCCCGTGCTCAGAAGAAGATTGATGAGAAATACAGCACCTGTCCGCCAGTGATAGGTGGATGTGGGAAAGGTAAGGCGGCAATCTTGAAGGGGAAAGGCAAGGCGAAGCAACAGGACAGCGAGGGAGGACCTGATGATGATGCCCCAGAGTATGACGAGAATGATGAGGAAGATTCACTTGATGTATAATAGTGTCTCGTGGCGGTACCGGCACTGGATAGATTGTCCGTTCCAGCAATTATTTTGAGGGCTACAATGTGTCCCTTGCGAACGTTTTCACAGAGAGCGCCAGAAGTTGACATATGCAACACATATGCATCACCACACTCTGTTGCTGGTGCACAAGCCAAAAGAGCACCTCATTATCATTGTGCTCACTTTGCCATGCTATGTATGCCAAGCACCCTGCCAACAGCGTGGTCGTTACTTACATTAATACATTATGAAAGGTTCTAGAATGACAAGCAAAGACAGTTTAAATTGAATGATGTACAGGCAAGGTTACAGACCATGACGATGATCAAATGATGCCAAGGCCTGCAAACACACTAAAAGGTTACATGATCTGTTGCTGTTGCAAGGAGCAGTCCTAGACAGTCACAACACGTCAGGAATCCTTTCAGCCAAAATCAGGGCAGACCGTCTACCCACATTGGCATGGTTGCTCCACCGCCGAGGGATACTTGTCCAAAAAGTTGCGAACGTGGTCGCAGGCTGCCTTGCCACCCAACAGCTTTACGATACACAGAACTCCACGAAGAACATCTTCTTGAATCTCAGTGAGCACAGAGTACGACCCTGGCTGTGAGCCTTCATCGTGTTCTTCTTCCCAAAACGTGGTGAGAGGAATATTTGCGGTGACATAATCAAAGACGAGGCTGAATATGGGGGAGCGTTTATTCACGAGTGACTTGACCTCCCACTCTGGGTCGATGAGAACGAGGCTGCCGAACTAAGCATGAGAATCGGGATCAGTACAAATGTAACTAGAGATACTGGACAGACGGACGACGCACGTTGTGGTAGAGCCTGAGCAGGCGGTTCCGGGCAGTGATCGTATGACCATTTATGTTCCGCCACTTCTTGTACACGGCATCCATCCCTTTGAGATGTTGAGCAGCGGCCTGCTCTGTTAACCCTTCAAATTCAGCTGCATAATCCGGATCACACATAAAGGCCCGGCGGAAAAAGTCTCCCTTCCACTTTTTCCCACCGCCCACGGCCGTGCGTGCTTGCCAGTCAATGGCAAATTTCAGGGCCTCAATCTGGAGCAACGCATGCCTGACAACAGCGTCGCCACCCATTCGGCGGGTCTCCGCTGTGATCGTCTGTGGTGCTGTCATTGCTCTGAATGCTTTTCCTCTGCGGGAATAGACTCACACCGTGTCGTCTTGACATGCGAAGGTGTAGCATCGGCACGGCATCATTGTCTTGGGATGCTTGAATGAAGACTGATACCATAGACAGTGCGTCGGAAAGGTGCTCGTGAAGGACACCGCGCTAGCACTCATTTCAACAATAGATGGGTAACCCATTGCCGCATGGGAGTACGTACCCAGTCTCGAGACTCCGCCCTTGGGAAGCCTCGCAAGAGGCGAATGAATGCATCATCTTCACGGGTGGCACGTGTCTTGGATACTTCATCGTAAAAGAGCATGGCAATGACCTCGTCGAAGGACATGGCCACATCATTGAGGTGCGAAATGACAGATTCTCCACGTTGAATAGCGAGAGCTTGCTTGCGCTCCGCATTCATTCGGCGCTGTCACTGCATCGTCATCCTACGGCAAGTGTGACAAGCACAGAGTGACCTGCCTTGACGACCTCAGTGTCGTGTCCTTCACTGCCCTGGGGAGGACAGTCAGAGATGCAGTGTGAATGCGTCACGCAGGGACAATGGATGCGCATATACGCACCTCGTCTGCTTCTTGGGGGTCCGAACTGTCATTCTCGTCACCTGAATGGCCTTCAGTAGTACGGCGCGGACTCGGAGAGGCGATGTTGTTCTCCATCATGAAGTCCACGCCAAGAGCCTCGGCGGCTGCCTGGTTGATCTGTTTGATTCGATGACACACCGTCGACAGAAGCTCCGAGGACCCTGGCGATGGGTTCGGCGGTAGTGGGTCCATGGTGAACAGAATGGTATCAATGGCATTCAGGTGACGGACGACCTCCTGGAGACTCATGGAGGTTGGAGGCAGGATTCACGAGGTGACGAAGTGGTATGCGTACAAGCAGGAAGTAACAACGGCCCGACGTGGCAGAGGGTCCATGTTCACAGTTGAGCCGTAGGAGGACAATTCGTATGCCGCAGCGATCGAGAACTCGTCGCACGTCCCCTGCCGGCGCTTTCGTACTGCAAGCAGGACGGGCCAGCTCCTAAGCGCCAGCTGAGCCTAAGGCGTTCGGACTCCAGTCACCGCGCCCTCCGTAATGCTAGCGGCGTGGATGCCAGTAGCGCGTAGCCCGAACGTTGCCGACACTTGCGCAAAAGTTTATCTGTAAGTGACCTGAGATAGAGGTACACGCAGAGCTCATAAACATTGTTCAAAAGAACCCGGCATCTTCTCCGTCATCTTCCTCATCAGTAAAGAAAGCAACGGCACCCTCTTCATCATTGTCCATACTAGTTTACCCTTCGCCATTGTAAGGCTGCCCGCGACTAGACCCCGATCCGACGATGGGGTCGCCTTCACGGAGGTCATGCAGGCCTGGTGCCCACATGCAGAGTAAAGTGTTACCTCACTCATTGGCCGCCAGTGAGTGACTAGTAATATTGCTTTTATGTGGTATCTGTGGCCGGCTAGCTTAGTTGGTAGAGCGTGGTGCTAATATTCGGGTTACTGGGGCTATCGCCTTGATTCCTGAGCTTGTTACGCCAAGGTCGTCGGTTCGATCCCGGCGTTGGCCATTCTTTTTTGTTTGTTATGAGATAAACAATTTTGTGTGCTTTAACGAGACGCGAGGCACGAGCGCCTCGGTCAAGTATAGTCTACGCACGCGTGGAAGCGAGCGCTTGAGTCTCTTGCGTCTCGCTGCCACGCTCAGTCTCCTGCCCATCCGCTTCCGGGAGGTAGGGGGCCCCGTGTCGCCAGAGCAGTTCAATGCTAAGTGACGATCGGCCATACTATGCTAAGTCCAGCCATCACGTGCTATGTCTTATGTAAACTCTCTGAACCTTATTCCCCTCTACCTCCCTACAGCGTCTGGCAGAAAACATTTGTAAACACCGGGCTACGGCGTCCCACGCCTGCATTTGGTAGTTCCCCGGGGCCGGAAACCAATATACTTGTGTCGATTTCCCAGGCATTTCTGTAATAGTTGTGCTTGAGCGATTGATGACATCCATACACAGCGTGCGCCCGGGGAGCATGAATTTACAGCTGATAAATACTTCTAAGCCACCCAGGTAATAGCTCAGCTGTTACTCAATGCTAGTACTTACATCGGGTGGTGCGATTCGGCTCAAATGATGGGTTTCAAAGAAACATTTTATATTATTACTGGTTCAGACTCGTCCATTCAAGGATGTACCGCGGCCAATGGCTGGTGCGACAGGCAAAGGCATGGGCCCACTCGGGTGACACCAATGTCCAGACTGGTACTCATAAGTGGACAAGCAGACGGACGGATGTACGAACGAGACATAGGCATCATGATGCCAAGAGGCCACCGACCAGCCCACGAATGAGCAAGTAGGTGGTTGGACAGGTCAACGAGATGGTGTGGGTGAACAAGTGTAAGTTGTACAGTAGATATATATGCTTACATGATTCACTTCTTAGTATCATACTAGTGATAATCCAGTGCCTCCCGTTCTCCGTCTTTCATGGTCTGCAGGCTGAAGACGGTGCTTCCTGCGAACACCTTCGAGATCTGCCACAGTGACCACACCACATCAGCCTGCTCACCAGCCCCACCACTCACCGTCAAGACAGTCTTGCCGCCAAACACATCGAGCACGACGCGCCGCACCCTGCAAGCTGGAGTTGAGGACTCTGGGCGGAAGACCGATGACCATGCCCGAGTTGATGCCGTCGCCATAGCCACGTGCGCTGCGTGAGCTCCTGCGAGACGACCAGCCTGCGGAAGTGGTCAAACTCTGGTTTGACAAAACTGCACATGAGCGTGCGCCCGACCGCTGAAGGCACTCCCCCGCGTATCGCGAGCTCGGTCTTTCTGTCCGTGAACAGCCCGCGTTAGTGGTAGGGAGAGCGACGGCGGGTGGCCAACATGAGCAAGTGCAGATGACCAGCTAACGGCGGACGAGAAAGCAGGCACCGGAAGTCAGGATAAAGACAAGCAGAAGTTTGGGTGCGTGGGGATGAACGGGTGCTAGTGTACATGAGATGAGTCTGAAGCGGTCGAACATCGCACAAGCGCGCAAGGTTCACTCGAAGGTGCTCGCGAAATACTGAGAGCTTACGCAATAAACGGGTAGACTGCATTAGGAAGTACCCACTCCGGGGCCGGTTGTTTACCAATGTTTTCTGCCAGACGCTCTGGCGAGGTAGAGGGGGATTAAGATTGGGGAGTTTGAATTGGTGGAGACGGGGAAGGTCGGGGTGGGCTCGGGGTAGGTGCGGGATCAGTTCGGTGTGTGAATACTGTGGCGGGTTGCGGTGGAAGTGTGGCAGACGACATATAGCATTGCACGAACTATCGACACGGGGCCCCCTACCTCGCCAGAGTGGATGGGCAGGAGACTGTGCCACGCTACGTTTGCTCGATAGCTCGTAGAAATCACAAAAACCTTTTGTCAACGAATCCCGCAGTTTCTCTCCTATTGTCACAAACTTGATGGATCCCGAACGTCAGCCAGCCCGACTCTGAGACCCTTCAAACGATGTATGTCCCGACTACACGTCAGACGACTTCGCGAACATGAGGGCAGCTATGGCGGCAGGAGGCATGACAGAGGAGCGGGTTCTAGAGGTTATGCGGCAGAGCTGGAGAGCCGACCATGATAGGCGACTAGCAGCCTGGAACGCTCAGGTTCAAGAAGACTTGCAGCGCGCGGAGGAAGCCAACCAAGAGCGCCGCGAGCGCGAGGAGGAACAGCTCGCGGAAGCCCGCAAGGTGGAAGAGGAAGAGCAGAGAGCCTTAGAGAAGAAGAAGCCTCGTCTTGCCAAAGTGGTCGATGGACAAGCTCCCCCCACTCAAATGTGCCAGCATATTTCGGAGTACGCGCGCGAGAAGCTCGCAAAGTATGCCATGGTCGAGCTCGACTACTTCACCCCGAAGGCGCGTCAACAAGCCGAAGCACAGGCCAGGAACTCCACGTTAGATGCTATCACTGTCACGCAGAGTGATGTCGGATACACGCTAACGCAGGGCACCGCACACAAACCTTTGAAAGGCATCCGTCGCGACGCAGACCTACCATATACCGAAATGCTAATTGCTTGGCCTGCGTTCATAATAGAGATCGGCAACCTTCCAACATGGGACAAGAAGCATGTAGCGCAGTACGGCCAATTCTTCCTTCACATCATGGGGCTCGAAGATTGCCAAGACCACATCGGCCAGCTCGCGATCATGCGCTACATTGAGGAGATACGCCTAGACTGGCATGAATCCATCATCGCGAAGAATGTGTCGGACACCGCTTTCGACATTAGTAAATGGAGGCAGGATCGTTACAACAGCTGTAAGGCGGCGATCCAGCATAAGTGTGCCAACGCGCTCATAGGCGAGGTACGTCCTCTCCGTTCGCGGAAAGCTCAGTGTACTCACCATGGATCTCCTCACCTCATCCCCTCCCTTGTCTCATTCTCGGACTGCATGGGCACGCACGCATCAACGCGTCTTCGCGACATCCTCGCGGCGCCGTCAAACATCGACCGGCGTGGTCCTTTGGCTTCCTTGCGACCGGCGTGGTCTGCATGCATTATGGCCGGCGTGGCTTGCATACTCGGGCGACCGGCGTGGTCTGCTACGATCTGGCCGGCGTGGTCATTATGCGACTGGCGCGGTCTGCTTCTGGCGACCGGCGTGGTCTGCTTCTGGTGACCGGTGTGGTCTACCTCGCGATGGGCTTGGTTCTCTCATACTGGCCCTCCTCACTTTCTACTCCACAGGAACACCCTTTTATCCACAATTCCGACATATCCAAATTTCTTCCTTGGCACCGCCTAACCGGCCATCCCGCACCTTCTTTTCCCTTCTCCGGTCGCGGCGGGGAAAAAAATTCTTTGGGTGTGTCGGTCCTTTCTTCACTTCCCTAATCTTGCATTTTGTCACGCCTTTCAATGGCGATGTACATATCCAAATACATAAAGCTCGAGAATCTCAAAGCGGGATTTCTCCAGCAGTTCTTGAGTGTCGGGGCCTCGGGGCAAAGCTCACGACGGCGCCGTTCACCTTCTCCCGAGCAGCGCAGGTGGCACGAGGGCTCCAGCCACAATCGTGGCCACCGGCGGGTAGCATCGGAGGCCGCCGAGCCTTATGCGAGGCACGCCCGTGAACGAGAGAACACCAGAGGCTCCGGGCAGTCTTTTCAAAAGGGCGCGGGTTGAACCGCCAGAGCGATCTGCACCATCTGCCTGGGCTGGCACCTCTACGTCGATATCGCAAAGTGCAGGGCCACCACAATGTGGGATGGTGCCCCAGTTCTGTGCAAACGGAACTCCTCAGGGCAAATCGTCAACCGAGACGGAGAAGTCATTTGCCTCGACTTCCAAAGACCCTCGGGGTGTTCCTCAAACAGCCCCAAACACCTGCACCAGTGTTCAGGGTGTGGAGGATACAGCCATGGTGCATGCGCGTGCTCTCGAGCACAGAAGAAGTAACCCGTGCACACCCTATCACCCTGATGCCTGGGAACACATGCTCGAGCATAGCGGTCTATCCAACCGGTACCCCCTTTTGGTTCATTCTCTCTGTTTCGGCTTTCACATCGGTATCCCTACTCTACTTGCCACTCGTACCCCAGATAATAGCCCGACAATACTCACACAGGCCGATGACTTTACCCGTATCATA